TCACCAGGCAAGTAATAGTGGAAGTAATAATTAACAAGGATTTAAGTACATTTTGTATCCTAAATGATGTTACGATCATTTTCACCTTGGATGGGAAACCACTCTTTCCAAAGTTTCTATCAACAGCTTTTACTCAGAGTAGATATTCTTCTTCTGGTGGTAACGTTGCAGTGCATTTTACTGTGCCGTGATAAATCTCAGCGTCCACCCGTTTCTTACAAATCAAAAAATCTTCAAAAGAACACCTGATAAGTTGACGATAGACACACCCCTAACTCACTTTCAAAAACCCTCCATCAAGGTTAGCCTCGATCAGTTTTAGTAAGCCAGAGCTTATGCTTAGCGTGTGAGGAAAAGATTTCCTGTGAAATTTTTATTCAGCAAATCCTTTATCAACCACACAACCTGAGTTAAACAGAAAAACATTATAGTCACATTGGTTTTTTTTTTTTTTTGCATAAACTATGGTAAGCTCGAGGTTTAATGGGAAATCAGAGTTTTACATTTGCTCGATCATAGTTTGTTTTCGAACATTTTTTGTGTTATTTCATAATTCCGAAACAGTCAGGTTCAAATGGTTGCTGGTCATGCCCACTCACACTGTCTGAAAATATCTCGTCAATTGATAAATGTCAGCCTATTCGTTGGAATTTCTTTGCAGTTGTATAGTAAGACATTTCATTTCAGACAGTTTCCTTTATTGAATCAAAATAGCAAGACTAACATCTTCAGTTGATTTGTTTTGTGTAGTTTGAGGTAAATATGAACAGAATACGAGGTTCAGCTCAGTGTTCAATTAAGGACATCAGTGTAACTATCAAGTGAATTTACCTTCCTTTTTATTGCACCCAGTACCCAGAGACTTAAATAAGGATCAATTCCACTTTATAATCACAAAGGTTTTTTTTTTTCATAAACTATGGTAAGCTCGAGGTTTAATGGTATATCAGAGTTTTACATTTGCTCGATCGTAGTTTGTTTTCAAACATTTTTTGTGTTATTCCATAATTACGAAACAGTCAGGTTCAAATGGTTGCTGGTCATGCCCACTCACACTGTCTGAAAATATCTCGTCAATTGATAAATGTCAGCCTATTTGTTGGAATTTCTTTGCAGTTGTATAGTAAGACATTTCATTTCAGAAAGTTTCCTTTATTGAATCAAAATAGCAAGACTAACATCTTCAGTTGATTTGTTTTGTGTAGTTTGAGGTAAATATGAACAGAATATGAGGTTTAGTTCAGTGTTCAATTAAGGACATCAGTGTAACTATCAAGTGAATTTACCTTTACCTTTTTATTGCACCCAGTACCCAGAGGCTTAAATAAGGATCAATTCCACTTGAAATCTGAAAAACTAGCGAAGATAATCATGAACGATGCTATTACGTGTATAAGCTTGCCCTTTTCATGCGGCTTTACGGAATATATGACATGTCGTCAGATGTTTCGTAGATTTCTTCGACACGCAGCTGAATTGTTTACCTCAAAGAACTTTGTCAATTTTTGCAATTTCTAAAAACTCAAAAGAGACTCAACCAATTTGTACTACAAACGCCTCCAGAGATTTTTATATTCGAAACATATGCTAATCAGATTAAATAGCTTTTTTATATTGCAGGCGCAGTTTCAGTCTTTATCCTGTGGATGAATCAGAGCAAATCTCTGAAATAAAGATGATCGTATTTTTATATATAATGGGACCTGACATGCTGTCCTATTTAAAAGAGATGTGTTAAAGAAATTCTGATGACAGCCAGAATTGGACGAGGCCGTAGGCTAAGTCCAATTTGGCTGTAAGAAGAATCTTTTGAAACCAATTATTTCCAAATTGGACAAGCATGAAGTCCTCAATGTTACGTATTAATTACATAGCTGATCAGGTAACACAGCCTTGCTTTCTCCTCAAGTTATTGTCTTGAATTTGTAAATTCGCGATCCCGCTAGATAATGTGGTTTCTGCCACAGTTTTTCAAATGGGGGTCCAACGAGCTCTGCATAACGGTCAGACTGATTCGTTCTCATCACCGTCACTTTTTCGAATTTCAGCGAAAAAACGGCAAAGAATTGCATCCAGCTCATGGCGAGGGATATCTTCAAGCTTTCTCTACGCTACTCCTTCCACTCGTTGAAAACGTTCAGCCAAGTTTTTGAACCCTTGGAGGTGTCTTGGTTCTGGTTTGTAGGTTGGTAAGTTCCTCTTCTGGCAAGGAAAGAAATCTCTCATTTGCTTCACTATTGTAGAAATTGGGCAAAGCTTCCCCGCTTAATTCCGCCATTGTCAACCAACAACACAAAAAAGTAGAGAGCTGACGCTATGCTTTGTGCTGATTAGCTAATTTCTATCACATGCTGTTTTTGCCTGGAATTGATTGGCTGAGGCAAACTGTCTTATATTTCTAAAAAAATTCTTGTGAATTTTAACTTAAAGTCCTCAGTGTAACTATCTAAAATATATCCTCAATTATACTGTTCTCAAAAATTAAAGGATAAGAGCTGCGTTGACAATATTGAATAAAGTGACCAGCTCTATAATTAGAGAAGGTACCTGATGCCTAATGCAGGCAGCCTTGCATATTTCATTTACACCAAGTTGCGTTTTAAAACATACATGGTATTTTTCAACTGAACATTTTCCGCATCGAGGAGCAAGGGCCTATTTTTACCCTTTGGAGGCGATTCAGATTTGTTTTGTATATTTTGAAAATAGATCGGAGTAAAAAATAAACGCCAGTCATTTCAAAGACCGCTCACCTCAAAGACGAGACTACAAACAAGATCAGATATCGTCGACGGTCGAATATCTCTTGGTATTTGACTTGAAGCTTAATTCATACTGGGCTTAAATCAGGGTAATCCATATTTTTTAGATATTGGTCAAAACGCAACTTCATTTGATATTTCCTTGCCTTTTTAAAATAACTCTACCATTCATCCAAATACAATGTTGTTATCTATTTAGAATTGCCATTAGGCCAACTTTTTCTGACTGATAAACAAACTCCTCGAACGCTAAGAAAATATAGTGTTAAATGCAACGAAACTGCCGAAATTAAAATCATCTGCGTCAAAGCAATTTAATGTCCGAGGAAGGAACACAAAGGACCTCCAGTTTGGAATCAATACATGATTACAACGAGTGCAATGTACGTCATGGAGAACAAGGTGAGCATATCAGTACACCTACTCATTAACAACTATCGAGGTACATTTTATATCCAAGATGATGTTATAGTTAGTTTCACCTAGGGTCATAAAACCGCCCTTCCCAAAGTTCCAGCATCAGCGTTTGTTAAAATTAGCAACATAACAGCGCATTTTGTACCTAATTCAGACTGACAACGAGGTCTTGAAAAGAACACTTAACCCTTTAACTCCCAAGGTCTCATTCGAAATTCTCCTTACTGTCTGCCATACAGTTCTTGTGATGTTAGCTTGGAGAATTTGGTATTGGATCAACTAATAATCCCCTAATTAATATTTTTCTTTATTCTCGTCACTTGTCTGCTTGATATTGTATTGATATTGTAAGGAGAAATTCTGTCTTGGTCTCTCATGGGAGTTAAAGGATTAATGAGTGACGATACCCAAATCCTTACCTCAGCTCATAACTCGTCATTAAGGTCAATCTAGACGTAAGCTCCAGTCATAATATTTACCGTGGCTGAAGGGGGTGGGGATTTTAAGCGGAGAAGGGATCAGTTGTCGCCAATAGAGTATGAAAGTGGGGGGACTGCCAACGAACAGTAAATCAGGAGGCATATCAAACTTTGCAGGTAATTTAGTGTTAACAACTGGGTTGAAAACGTAAATTAGCCACCGTAAAGGGTAAAAAAGCTGACGTTTCGAGCGTTAGCCCTTCGTCAGAGCGATCTGACGAAGGGCTAACGCTCGAAACGTCAGCTTTTTCACCCTTTACGGTGGCTAATTTACGTTTTCAACCCAGTTGTTAACGGTAAATTACCTGCTATACTCTCCCACCGACGCAGCACCACAGTTTCTTTAGAAACTTACCCCTTTATTCATACCAAACTTTGGGTTGGGATTTTGCTAACAATGGCACGATTTTTTTATCCTTTTATGGGCATTGTCATTGTTGACAGCTTTGAGGCTCTTTTGTCATAAGAACAAAGGTTTGAAAGAACCGACGCGTATCCGATTTCCGAGCGCGAGATTCAAAAACTTCGTTAATGACCTGAATGTGACAAAATTTGTAAATTTGTTACATGGAGAGCGGGCTGTCGGCTATGTAAAGTTCTGTCCTTTTTCCCGCAAATAAACGCAGAATTTCGAGGTAGAGAAAGGACGACAGTTTGTATCTTAAAATACGAATGGAATATGCCACACAACTATCGTAAAAGAAATCGAAACTGAAGCGAAGGTACGAGTATTTTTAAGTATTTTTGCTGGCCTGTTGTAATGCGCGCCAAACAAGTTGCGAGAAAGCTGTCTGTCTCAAGCGAAGAATAAAGCGTCATAACCAATTATATGTGAAATATCTACTGTTAGAGCGGTTTATTGTCATAATAAAACCCCTTTCAGTGCATCAAGACCTTGAAAGTATTCAAAGCTTTTTAAACGCTTTCATAGTATTGTGTATTGTCTTATGGGCTTTGTCGCGAATTTGATCGTCAACAAACCATTAATTGATGACTTTTTTTCTCTCCGTGAAGAAGCGGCTGGGCAGCCTTGAAAGGTTCTAATATAGACTTTTATTCAGATTGTTGTGGGAATCACTGTGCGAATTGCCTATGTATACAATTAAACAAACTTTGTTTCCGTCCCGAAAGATCTTTGAAAGCGTCTTTGAAATTCGCGCTCAGTTGACATCAATTGTTCTCTTGTTTTCATGAATGCCCTTATTATGCTAATGACGGGTTTTAAAACTGACGCGCGTGCCACTTGCAATTGACAACAATCATTTCGCTCTCTTCATTGGAAAAGAGTTATCTGAAAATAGCCATCGGAAAAGATCGGTTTAAAGTTGTTTAAAGTCTTAAAATGTTTTCGAAGTTCAAAGTAGACAAGCCGCAAGCAAACGTCCTCTACAAACGTGGCCCAAAGCATTTCGAGGTAGAGCAGTCTGTCCTCTCTTTGCCCCTTCTTGAGGCGTACGACCAACGCATTGGCCATTTGCACGAAATCGTCGGTGACCAGGCGACGGAATTGGCAGAAAGAAGGGCAGAAGTTTTTCAGCTTCGCCAGGAACTCCAGCTTCTAAGAAATGAGCTTGCCCAAAGTCGCCTAGCAGTGGACCCTGTAAAGAACGCTGTGAAGTTTAACGTTAGCCGAAAAAGCTATTGGGACGTAGATAAGTCTTCGCGGTCTATGAAGAGGAAAAAAATCAGAGAGTACCTCCGAAATGCCACAGAGATTTTACCAGCGGAATTCAAACCGATTGAGGTACGTATCATTACGAATTTTTCTTTATCACTAAGTTTTTAGGGGTGGTGAATGGTCTTTGAAGGTCTCGCAAAAATTTGGTCAAATTTTGCGGGTCTCGCAATATATTTTTTTCGGCGGCTCTGAATGTCTCGCAGTCACATATCTTTAAGCTTACATGATCATGCTGGGGACAAAATCGCAAATCAAAGGTTGAAAACAGTCTCGATCTAAGAGAAAAACGTTGCATTCACCATTCATCACCCCTAGTTTCACATTGCTCAATCTTTTTATTAAGACCTCATGCGTCTAATGGTTCAACGAGAACGGATGATAAATCTTTTCATTAACAATGTTTATTCAGTGTCATAAGCAATCTGTGTGATAGCGCTGAAATATTATAAGCCAGTCGAAAAATTTACTTTTTATTTTTCTGAAATATAAACTCTTCATTGAACATGCATAGTGTAGGCAGGTGCTAAGTACCTTTAGGGACTTACCAGGGCTTTCTGCAAATAGATACCGACTTCTGGTTATTTTAAGGCAAAATTTATTTTAGCTGTAATCCAAGCCTTGAATTGCTCATTTTTTTTTTTGCTCATCGCAAAAAAATTTTTGGACGTGACGTATGTAGTGTGCCCACGGTATGACTTTTAGAAGAAACCGCTGAAAACATGGCGGCATCTCGGTACACGTACTGACAACAAAACGGCGCTGTATATTTCTAACTGGATGGTTAAAAACTTCGGAAAAAACACTTGGATTCCTGCTCGCCACCACTTATTTCTTCTTGAGGACCTAAGATACTGCTTGTTTAAACTTAGTAATTTCATTTATTTTGTGATTTTTGTGTTGATTATAAAACGTAAACTTATTCCAGCGCGAAGACGTCTCCGTTTTCTTCCAACCCTGCAACCCAGGAACCAAAAGAAATTAGAGACGTCTGTACAAACAGGCTTCGCATTTAGATGTTCCATTCTTTTTTCGCACAGATTAAATTTGACGTAAGCGACCGGGAACTGGTGATCCCACTTTCCGACGGCCAACATGACCACGAAGACGAGGGTTACTCTTACGAGGTTGTCCAAAGGATTTTGGCGGCGAAGGATGAGGGGCTTGTGAGCGATAAAGCCTACCATGAACTGAGAATAGCGCTCCCCGAAAGTGTCCGAAGTCACGTCCCGCCACTGTCAACAATATTGCAGGAAAGGAGGACACAAAATAAGGAAATCGAAGTAATTCCAATTCCAGAGGTAAATTATTTTGTTGGTAAACTTATATTACACTCGAGGCAGTTATAGCTTTTTAAAGTACGATGGAGGTGGCTCCCCACAGTAAGTTTAACAGGATGACAAGCGGAAGCCATATAATTTCTTATGCATAAGGGTTTGTGTTCCTGGCATTCACGCTGATTTATCAACAACAATCCAAGATTTTTTATTTTGATCATTTGTGTGTGTCGAAGGTGCTATGGCAACAAGCATTGACTTTCAGTGAGGGCAAAAAGCTTTGCTGAAAGTGAAAAACATTCAGTCAGCACATTTGCCAAAGAAAAAAATTTTAAACCATATTTAACTAAGCCTATGTTTAATCTTTTGTGGGTATGAGATTAGTCTCTTATGATGTTGTAACAATTTTTTCTGATTGTGTCAAATACTTATTAATTACTTTTTTGGGATTTTGAATTAATGCAGGCCAAGCAAGGTGAGCGAAGGCGAGCGAAGAATACTGAAAAGGATTTCCTCAACGCATAAAACTCCTATCCACATCCAATTCTACAGGACGGTAGCACAGACGTGTGCTATCCCTGATTGTAAAATGCAACAAAATGCGCATGCTTTGGATCTAACAACCGAAAAGACTTTGGATTTTCTAAAACACTCACTGTCATGAATAGTACAACTGACTCGCCCTATTCTGACTCGAGCGCGTGATCATTTGCAGCGAAGTTTAAAAAATTCTAGGGGATGTCGATAGCTTTTAACTTCACGATCATTCTTATTTCATTACTAGCGAGAGATTTCCTACGGTTTTCTGCACATTTGTTGGGTTATAACTTCTTTGCCTTTTCAAAGAGTGCAATTGAGACATAGCTGACCTGATTGCAAAATTGCCAAGTCTTGAATGAGATAACTGAATACTATTTCTGATATACAGTAAATGGTTTAAACCGGGGGTAACATGTAATAGTGTAGTTTGATCGTCCGGGTGAGTGTAGTCCTTAGAAGGACTGTTGTCGGACGGTGGTGACTGACGTTTCGACAACCTGAGCGGAAGTCATCATCAGAGTCAAGTGAATAGTTGTTCTCAGTCGAATGTACTTAGTCCGGTTTGTGTACACTGATTGGTCAGTTTTGCCATGATGTTATTGGCTGTAAGACTCAAGTGGCGTAGGTCAGTCGTGATTGGTCGGTCTCGATCCGTTAGTGAAGTTAGGTCGTTCTGTGCGGTTCATTTGTAATGTTAATGTCGTGAATGAGTCGTTTGTATAGTGCCGGTGGTGGTTGACACCTGTTGAGGGGAGTCTGTTCCAAGTTAGTAAACCAGCTTTCCAGGGTCAGTCGTTGAAAGTAGTTGATGCTGTAGCTTTGGCATTGCGCAGAGTCCCAGTCAATAGTTTCTGATATATCGCGTTACGTATTTGGTGTGTAGAAAAAGTTTGTAAATACTGGCGTCAACAGCTCTCCATTCTTGAAACTCGCATGATGTGCTTATGGGTAATTGATAATTGCTCTTATCGGAGTTGAGCATGCCACCCAAACAATCCAGCGGTATTCTTGTGAGTAAACATCAAAGCGAGGCTATCGAGTCACCATTGATCAGATTTGTGTGAGAAAGTGAGGAAAACTTGTGGAGTGTTCCACAAATCTTCCACAAGCGGCCTTTTTTTCCGCTGAGGAGAAAGTGCAGTTGATAAGTGGTAATTGCCCACGGCATATTACTAAAGAAAGACTCAAAGAATGGTTGTCATTCCGCAAAGGGACGGCTAAAGATGGTAGTGCACGGTCTGAAGCAATGAAGGCTGAGTTATCTCAAAGGTACACAAATTGCAATATTTTTTGTCCCTTATAATTATTGCCATTGCTTGAAGGGAATATCGAAGCATGAGTTCTATATCGATTTGTTTTACCTGCCGCAGGGTCATCAGTTATATAAAAAATGGTTGGGAGAATAATTTTACGGAGAAGTGGCAACACTTGGCGGCAAGTAAACTACTGGAGCAAACGGCGACCGTCAATTGTGATTTCCCTGGATCTGCACAATGGGTTTCGCTGGTTGACGCGAAGGACGATGTCCCTTCATTTAATATTCAGAATATCGTGTCTTACTTTATTGAAAGTATTTTTTGAAAGATTTCCTCATTCTTTAACTGAAGTTGATGTTCCCAGTTTTCATCTACAATTTGAAATAAACCTTCACTTTCGAGATGTTCAGTTTCCATACCATCTGAAACAGATTTAAAATCGGTGTTTTCAATGTTTATCGCTTCGGGGGCTGAAGTCTGCTGCGATTTCTCTATTTTTGTTTTCTTTGTGTTCAACGTTGCTCGATCAGCGGGCTCTTTCCTCTTTGGTTTTTCAACAGTAAATATAAACTTTGTCGGTACGGAATCTGGCTTCAAGCGAATTCTTTGTCCTGCCATTGGTTTTATGAAGCAATTAGCTTTAAAATGCTGACTACAGACATAAGAGTTTTTGTCTACCGGAGTGTTCTCTCAACACAGTTTCACGAGCCATTGTGCCAGCAAATTCTTGTTTGACAGCGGCAGCGAATGCCATGATAAGTCCTTGCATTCCGCTTTGGAACTTCGGTTTTGACTCCCAAAAGCTATGAAATGTTTCACCATGGATAAAGAAACTAAAAACTCGAGAAAATATTATGTAAATACCAAGCTACTACTAATTTCCCTCTCTGCTTCCTTGTACTTTAGAGCGAGCTAGACCCGATAGCCTCGTTTTGGCGTAAGCTCATCCGGAGACCGCTGATTTCGCGTGCTCAACTCCGATAAGAGCTATTCTCAAAAATTAGAAACACCAGTATATTCAATGATTATATTTTATTTAAAAAAACGCTGACATCTTCACAAATTTTTAGATGCAATTCAAGTAAATTTTCCCCAATCCCGTTGCCTCTTTTGTTTTCATCCCCATTTTTACTGTTTTTTTTTCTGTTTAAGCAGACTTCGAAATGTTTTATTTCCTTCCAAACTTTTAAGTGGGATAAATATGGGCGTCATAAACAAAAAAATGAGAAATCAAAATATTACTACAAAATTTGGTTTCCTTCCCTGTCCACCTACCCTGCATCATTCCTAATTCCCCCCAACCCCCCTTCCCAAAAAGGAACTGAAATAAATCACCAGGAAAAAATATATTTCTTGACGTAGGGTGGAGGGGTGGGGGAAGAGGTTCTTAGGATGCTCAGAATGACACAGAATCCTCTGTGGCATGACAAGAAATGTCAATGAGACCGTAGTCATGGCAGGACCCTCACCTCCCCACCCTTCTTTTTCATAAAAATTATGAAAAATTAGGTTAAGCAGCTGAGCCAGCAGTTGGAAGTAAACTAAGATTAAAGCATGCGCATTAAAGCACGCAATTTCAAAGGAGAGAATCTCAATGAATTCAGACGACGATGGAAATTCTAAATCTCTCATAGGCTGTCTATGTGAAAAATTCAAAGCATGAGAAGTTTTATGGGTGAAGAGGAAAGAATTATTGAAAGAAAATACTCTGAAAATTGTTCGTAGACAAGAACTTTTGTTTGAAATGTGTCAAACATCTAGGTTCTGAATTTCTGGCATCTCTGGCTCAGCTGCAAACAAAGATAGTTTGTGCTGCAGCATACGGTACTGTAATAGGACCCCTCCAAATAAGAAGTGTGATAATGTGCAGTGTTAAGGCGACATTTCCCTTCCTAGTGCGGTGTACATTTGGAGCCTTTGTAAGGCTGGTGATTTTTCTGCAAATCAAGGTGATTATCCTTTCAGTCCCGGCTGGAGAGGACAGAGTATACCTTGCGTTTGTACAGCGGTTGTACCGGCCTAACGTTGCCACACATCAAACCAGGAGCACCACCGTGCTGAGCCTTCAGTTTCCTGAACTTGTTGAGCTGGAAAAAAGGAGAAACTTACATTAGAACTCTTTTCCCTCAGAATACAGGGCGTAATTAATGGGAACGGGTACCGCAGGAGGCATATGGTTCCCCCTTTAGTTTACCGAAAAGGATTTTTTATAATTATGAAACAACTGTACATGTCGCCTCGTGTTAATAAAAAACTGATGCGGGCGTACTATCTCTTTCTGAAAAAATTCTGCGTTGGTCTTCCGAGGTATCTTGAACACTGAATCTAGCCAAAAAGTTATATTCCGAATCTTTGTACCCTCGCTTTATGAAAACTGTCATGAGACGTTTCAAGTTTGCTTTTTTCTTAAAAGCAGTATTTAAGGACAAAATAATAATCACTTAAAGAAACATCCAACAGAAACCCACAATCATTGAAAAATTGCTTATCGAAAGTGATGCATCTTGACCACTTGTTCTCGGTGGAACAAGAGCATGAAAGGAAAGTAGGTCTCAACCGAGCAATGTCTTGCGATACACTAGTTCACATCATGCAATGTTAATCATTATAAATCTATATCCTTAACGACTTATCCTTACATTCGTGTTACTCTCGTGTTACATGAAGCTAACCTGTGTATTGGAGATCTTGACTTTGTCCTTGAAAACGATCCAGGTAACAGATTCATAGCAGGGAGGGGTGGTAAGGGAACCTTTGTAAGTGTAGTATTTGATTTTCTTTTTGGGGTCTTCTTTTAAAGCGTCCGGACCATCAGCATCCTCATCCTCCTCATCATCCTCCTCATCATCCTCATCTTCGTCCCCTTGTTTGTTATTGTAGGGCATCAGGTAATTCAGCTTAATTCCGTCCGCGACGGTCACATTGGTGCTGGCACCTTTGAGAAGAAAGTCAAGGAAAATTATATGAGAGGAAAAAAATAGTGCTTCATCAGGTGAAATGACGGTAATTCTGACTTCGTGGGCGCTCGTGTGATTGACAACATGGTGCACTATGTGGTGATTTGATCAAGAGGATGTCGGCAAAGACCTTTAAAGACGACAATGTAACTATTTACTTGAAGTGTCACAAAAAGGATCAAATTTAAACAAGTAATTTCACCATTTCCTGATTACCCTTTTAAAGAGTGACAGCAGAAATCTATCAGAAGCCTCTTATAACATCGAGATTGAATGTTATATTTCTATTTACCTTCTTCTATGATCTTTGTCAGTTTCTTTGCAAAATTTCCGAGAATCCTGTTTCCCGGGCAAGTGGCCTGCAAAATATAGATACACTAAAAATTATTGACACTTTCTCATATGTCTAAAAATTCAGTCTGCATAACATAGTAATTGAAATGCCTTCATGGTATCATGTTCTATATGAGTGATCTGATAGCAATTCCGTTGCTATTTGCAAACGACTTTTCTTCTCCGTCTTTCAGTTATTTCACTACACCATCGAACTGCAGGCCGGTCACAATTAAAAGATGAAATGAACACATAGGTTTGTAAATTAAAGTCAGCAAGCCCTATTTACCGTGATAAGGACTCCAAGAACTGCAAGGCCGTCAGGTTTATCCACAGCGTTTTGGAACGATTCGTACTTTTTGTTGTAAAAAACCAAATGAAGCTAGAAACGAACGAAGAAAACCGCAAGAGCATAAGTATTAAGAAATAAAAAATAAATGACGTATACTCGGGGCCGATTTGTCCATAAATATACATGTGAATAGGAACAGTATGTATCAACTCTATATATATTTTTTGATCTGAAACTAATACATCGAGACAGGTTTTATTTATAAAGAATCACAATTATCCCATTTGATCCCATAATAATTTTCGAATTTCACATAAAATAACTGTAAGAGGTAATAAGTACCTGAGCAGGAAAAGCCTGGTTGTCAATCAAGTGTTCCGATCCTTGACCATTTTCGCATCCAAAATGAAAATGGAATTGTTGAAGAGCGTACTCGTCACAATCCAAGGGACCGCCACTGAGTTTAGCGCCCCCCTTTGAGCCGTCGATGTTAAAAACAGGAGAACTGCCGGCATTAAGTAGCTCTCCAGTCACTCGGCCGCATGGGTTGTCAAAATTGATCTTAAGATCGGGATAGCTTTTCTTCTTCACTTTCTTTGTTATGATGTTGACGGGAGACTGGAATTTTCCTCCGCACAGTGGAAATACCTTGGACCAGTTGCTTGGAGCCGGGACTGTTGGGAAAAAAAAAAACCGTGAATCGTCAATAACAAGTTTGGACATCTTAGTCGAAGGAATTGAGCTTGCATGTCACTGAAATTATCAGTTATTGAGCTCTGTGACTTAGCTATTAGTTTTTAAACCTAACAATTTTGGACTTTGTGAGTTTCCCATGCACTTTGCTTAGACTCGTTAGCTAAATGCCTTTCATCGATTGATTTGTGCAGGTCGCCGAAACTTTTCAGCATTCTGACAAACGTGAGCCACAGTGAATATGTCACTTCACACCTTACAGAAACATGTACATCAGTAGGTCTTTCCGCAATTATTAAAATCAACGCAATAGCTTTTGACTTGTATTGCTTACAAGCTCAATATTCTCTGCAGTAGGAGGGTGGAACAGTGTTAAATTCAGTAACCACTCAGCCTGCATAAAATTGGATTTAATCATAGGCGAAAATTTGGCGAGAAGATAACAGACAAAGACAGCGGATGGAAGAAAAGAGAAAAAGAACATGCAAAGGCAAAAACACAACAGTACGACGGAAAGAACTTTAATAAAAGGATAAGGAACGAAAAAAATTAATAAGAGTTTTCAAAGCAAATAATTCAAACATATGGCAAATTCAAATTCAACGAGTACGAAGGACCAATAGTTTTAGTCCTAAACCAAAATAAGTTAAAGTTTAAAAGAATGAAATAAAAAAAAATATTTGTTATTACCTCCGTGTTCAGATAGATATCCGTAGTCTAAATGATAAAAGCGTGAGAAAAGAAAACGTTAGTTATTCCGATATTAAAAGAACTGTATCATGCAACATCTTCATCTGAGAAATTCTTGATATTGATAACTACGAAATATTATGAAAATATTAATGCCAAGAATGTAATATCTCAATATCTTGCGCCAGTTGGAACCAACTTTTGTCCAAGTTATGTTTTCTTTTATTTATACTGTATTTGGATTTATCACTGCGACTTATACCGCTTATCTCACTATATCTTGGGCAACATAAATATCTTTATAAAAGAAAACCGTCATGTTAATAGGAAATTTACAGCCTTGTAAAAAAAAAGGAAAGTTTTGGTCGAATTGATACCAGACAGGAAACTCACCTTGGCACATGGCCGCAGCGATCATAGAAATTAGCCACAGAAAATACATCGCAGCTAAACTGGCCTAAAAATTGAAATTATAAATATCACATCAGTCATAAATTGCTTAAGATTTAACCATTGACATTACAGTATTGTTTATAAGCTCAGCTATTAGTTTCGATGTGAGAAAATCTAGTTTTAAAGGCAAGGTTATGAGGCAAGAGTTTCCTACGTATTGCTATGGGTAGATAAAAAATATTTTGTATCGTAAGCCGATTCCACTTTGCAAAATTTTAACCCCTTTATGAAAAGACAGTCGAGTATGAATTTTCAAGCGTCAACAAAATACTATCGAAGAATTACTACGAATTGAAACAAACTGAGTTTAAGTGGGAGAAACTAATTCAGTTCAGCATCTGTTTGTTGATCAGACCACTCATTCGAGCTTTGATTTCTCGAAATGATATAGATTGTTTACGCCTAAAAATTGAAAAAATAAAAATATTCCAACTTAAAATTAAAAATCGTGTCAGGTGCAGCACGTGATGCGAATGGTGGGCTTCATGTCGTAAATGTAAGTGCTGGGTATGGTTTCAAACCTATGCACGTGAGTTAGCACGCGAGGTAATATTTGATCTGATATGTGGGTCGGAATGTGACCATTCAGCGCACGAGTTGGCAAGTGAGTTGGCACGTGATACAGCTCCTAAAAAAATTAGGCCATCAAATGAAATGTGTGTGATTTGCGTGCTATTGCATAACATCCTGTTACACAAAATTTTCATTGAGCACGTTGAGTAACATTTTTGTCCTAAAAACCAGTTATAAGTAAAAAAGTTTTTCCGGAAGAAAAGGACGAAGAGCCATCTTTGCTATATGAATATAGCTATTGATTAGTTTCAATTTCCAGTCAGGTAAAACAATCCATTAAAATTTAACCGCAATCAATATTTTCCAGAAAAGATAAAAACCTCAAAGAGTCCAATTCTACCTCAGCTAATGCGTGCACAGTTTGGCTACGGAATGTCGCCTTTTCAAGCGCGTTTGTCTATTTATCTAAGTCCATTGATGATTTATAATCAATAAAAAATTGATCCTTAAATTTGTTCAATGTGCACGTTTGACTTAGTTTAAATACTTTTCACGTATCCCAGTTACAGATTTGCGGCGGAACTGATCTATACGTCTCAGACTTAACTGAATACTTCCTTTAATTAGTTTAGGAAATACATACGACTGTTCCATAACAAATGAGGAAAAAACAGATGCCAGAAAACATTTTTAAAAAGTGCAAATTCAGACTCGATTTGAGTTAAACAGAAAATTAAGAGCTGCACCGATTGCACCTTTAACGAAAGGGAACAATATCAGTTGCCGAAAACGCCACCAAGTTATGACTAGGAGAGCTGCCCTATGGAAAAAGACACTGACTTATAAAAAGAAAATGAATACAAGATTTCAGCCCCGTTTGTTCTCACAAATTTAAGTATCTTTTGCTTAGCCTGTATCGAGGTGGAAGAAAACAAGAATTTTGGTTCAACAATATTGACAAAATTAAAATTGAACTCAAAATTTTGGATCGGCTAGATGAAGATAATTTTTAACTTTAGGCGGGCGAAAAAGTATGATCGTGCTTGATTTTAACCCATTTTTAACGAGAAACGGCTAAAGAAATAAAATTGATTTGTCTCGGGAGGCTATTGGTAAAATTTTCTTCACTTACTTGAAATTCTTTCAAAGGATTCAAAGGACTTCTCTCCAATTTCGGATCTGTTTTCCTTGGCTAGTTTCTATGAAAGTGGTGTCGAGTTTTTGGTGCAAAGAAATTTAAAGCCTAAGAGTTGCTCAATATCGCTTGGAAAATATCAATAACGTCATCAATTCCTGTCAAATTGATATTGTTTAGATGACCCCACTTGGTAGTAAAAGGGTCCTAACTGTCTCCTCTAGCGGTATCAGTAGCCAAAAATAAATATTTGCCATATTTACCAATAAACACAGAAATTTCCAGAAGAAATAGAAATCTCACTTTCGTCTACTCAGCGGAAGTCAAAATCAGTGGTAAGAGTTTTATAAAGAGATAAATTGGAGAAGAGTCTGAACATAGTTTCGATCTATAAACTTTACCGCAGATTTTTTCAAGAATAACATATTCTAGGAACAGAATATCACTGTAATATACCTAAAAAAAATGGAGTTCTCTGATTGGACCAAGGCGCAAACATTTAGATCCTCTTTATATTAGCCATTTTTGTATATTACTACATTTATAGTCGTCTCACGTCATTTATGTGCGTTGCACGTGTTGAAGACATGCATATTGTTCAATTTTGGCACGTGCGTCTCAGAGGAATGTTCCCAGTAAAGCACGTGCTGTAAGTTTTTAGATTTGTTGTACATATTTTTCTGAAATTACTGAATGGAAAATTATTGTAGTCCTAAACCATGAAAAAAATTAATATGCCAGCACCTTACAAACGGCGTGCATTAAAGTGGAAATGTTTTCATGCTTAGAGGATGTATTTTTCAGCACTAAAACTTTCGGTATATTTCTATATTTCAGCTTAATGAAGCACTTGATAAAATATTTGCTATCCATTTAATGTTATCTCTACTATATTTTCATTTTTTTTTGTTTTGTTTTGATGGCTGAAACACGTTTTGACCACTTTCTGGTATTCAGGCGTGTTGATAAATTTTGGAATTACGAAATGTAACTAAATGTTATTGAATGTCTCTTTTGGACTAAAGTAAACACTATTTTCAACCACTGTTATATTTTTTGTTTATGGATAACGTAATCGTGGATAGAATATATTGACAATGTTGATCTTAGTATTATGAGAGGTATCAACAACTTGAGAATAAGGCGATATTAACTTGTGCCACCGGCACAAAATGAACTTCGGACACTTCAGTTTTTTCAGTGTTCCGTCCTTACGTAAGAAGACAATTCGGTGTCTCAGTAGTGTCTTATCAAAAGACAGCAACTTATTTCTCCGTGTATAGATCAGCAAGAAGCAAGAAGACACCCTTCTTTAAGCATATCAGCCTAAGTTTGTGATGAGTTTCTGCCAAAACAACGGCCTCTGTACATCGTAAATTTCAAAGCTGAAATTCAAAAGGTAACATTTTTGTCCTTGTTTACACTCGTGTGAAGATCGAAGAGCTACCAATACTCTAATCGCTTTATTTCTGTTCTTGAAGTTGAGAAACAAGCTCGTTTTCCGGTTTTGATAAAAATTTTTTAGTTCTGTGACCTAAAGCATCAGAACCAGCCGAAGGATTATGTGGTTGCAGTTTGCTTCCTGCAGAACAACATGACTTGGCAAAATAAACGAATCAATTTGGAGCAAGGTTGCTCCTAAATAAAATGGCTTTTGAAAAGTATGCAGCATATGATTTTCACCATACTGTTTCGTTCACCTGGGCATTTATTTTTATTTTTATTTTCTCAGAAACGGAAAATGACCTGAAACTGTCCATTTCCTAATTATATTAGCTAGTTCTCAGATTCATTTAAGGCAGAGATCAAAATAATATTTTCAGCTCACGTAAGCCTCCAATCACGGCCATCAGATCAATATAGTAAATTACAGATGGCAATCTTTTCGATATGTTTTATTACCGACAATGATATTGTTATAAAATTGCTAAATGTGATTCCACGACAGCTGAAGTAAAAAATGACGCTATATGAAGAACGGAAGATTTCCAATTTTACTTTTTGATTCTGTAACCGTTTTTTCGAGTTAAAAATATCCCATTTTTTCGTCGCTATCATAATTTCCAAAAAGTCGGCAATTAGGCTAATTCACATGAAAATATTATCTTTAGTGGCTTTAAGTGGGACCTCAAGTTGAACTAAAAAAAATAGACTTTTTAGACGATTGGCGAGACCATTGGAGATAAAAATTTTGAAGCTTGATCGTGGCTCGCTTAAAGGATAAAATGGGATCGTTCGGCATTCGCTCCTGGATCTTTTTAAATCTTTTATGGCACGTCCTTTTTTTGGCTTCTTTTAAGAAAGTTGGTTAAAGATCACAGGAGAAAGTAGACATTAACTATATTGAATCTATGATATTGCCATTACCCTCACTGAAAAGTTTCCAAAAGCTTCAAAGTTTAGAAAGAAAGAATTTATCGGATTATTTCATTACATGATAGCGTAGGCCCCTGAATTGTACTATAGAAGAGCGCTCCTGGCGAAAGGTAGTGAGGCTCGTAAAATACGGTTTTGCCAAAGTTACACAAGTCCAAACTCCGCATATCTAATCAAAAATGTGATCAAATTGTTCTTTTGATCGGCACTGAATTTTTTGTCAAAGTCAGTCGCCAATACCGGAAATCAACTTCGAGTTCAGGCCCGGTATACAAATGAACCAAACCAAATACATGATGTCGTCACTTTTCTTCTCTTTGCAAGACAATTAATTGCGACTTTTCAATCAGTTCTATCAAACTGAAGCCAAACGAACTGAGTTTAGGCTCCGTCTGATAAAGAAGAAAGATTAGGATCGAAGAGGAAGACTTCAATGCTGTAGACGGTCAACATCTGTGTTCAGTGACCTCAGAAACAATAAAAAAAAAAAAAAACAGATAAACCATTTCTACGTTAAAAATGGAGTGTTAAGTAAACGGAACATGCTTAAAAACAGTTTCAACATAAACAGCGAGAGGCTAAGTCAATGGGTGACAGACGCTGTCGCTCTCTGAAAAGCCTTCGTTCCAAGGTCTTGATTGTATCTGCACGGAACGAATTGCGACGAAAAGGCTCGGAAGATTTCGCAAAACCAAGTTTACCTTAATTTGCCAAGGTTTACAATACTTGACACAGAAAAACTGAATAATTGATGACACAATATCACACACCCGGCATAAAATGACTCGGAAATTGTGAAATTCGCCGCTGTTTCCTTGGTTGAACTAACCGCGCATTTTTACAACTAAAATAAAATCATGAAGAGAGAGACTGAAAAAGACTGACAAGATTCAAAGCTGTTGATGTTGGGAAGCGTTGCAATTGAAAAACTTTAATTCGATGGCAACAGTTTTCAATTTTTTTAT